TAAGGGCCAAGAAAGGGGAATTAGCAGAGCCCCAGCCAGGCTGGGATGTGCTCATGAGACATTCATCCAGATGCTGCCTGGCGGAGGGACCAGTGCTGTCAGTAGAACTGCCCGCGATGATGGCAGTGGTCCATGTCTGCACTGTCCAACGCGGACACATGGCGTCGCTCGGCAGGTTCAGAGAGATGGGGTCAGTTTGGTGGGGTGGAAGTTGGCAGGGGTGTGGAAGGAAGGCGGGTATAGAGGAGCTGAGACCCAGAGAGAAAGAAGGGCAACAGGTGCAAAGGATCTTGCTTGATGTTCCAAGATGAGTCTTCTAGGCTTTACCCCCAAGTCCTCAGGGAGCCACGGAAGGACCTCATGTGAAGTAATGAAATGCTCTGATGGTGTCCTCCCCCGGCCCAGAGCGGTCCCAGCATCTCTGACACTCCCGTGACACTGGCTGCCGTAACCGGCACCGTCCCTCACAGACAGCTCTCACCCCCACAGGTATCTCAGCCTGACACACACGCCTGCCTCCTGCTCAGCTCTCCCTCCTCCTCCAAGCCTTTGCTCACTGCCCCCCCCCCACTCTCCAGGAAAGCATTGCAGACACTCTCACAGAGTCGGTGCCTCTCGGGTCTCCACAGCCTTGCCTGGCAGGCAGAGGAGGCTTACTAGACACGGTCTTAACTTCTCTATTCTCGCTGCTAGTTCCCCTTTCTTGGCCCTTGCCCATCCCAAGTCTACTTCCAGCTCTCCTACCCCCAGCTGTGGGGCCCTCAGGAGTGTTCTCCACACAGCCATAGGGGCTCAGAGACCCTCAGCCCCGGGCCTGGCCATCCATCCCTGGAACGCAGCCGCTGGGCAGGGCCTCCCTCCTGCGGCCTCAGGACAGGCCTTCTCACAGGGACAGTCCGAACAAAGGAGACCAAGTCGTCCAGCCTCACTAGGGAGCAGACCCTGACCCAGGGAGCCTGGACGCGGAGGTGCCTTAGAAGAGAGGAGGAGCTATGGACAGAAACGTGGGCATGCTCGTCTGGGAAGCCTTCCTGAAGGAGCAGCCTGACCTCGCTAGAATCATGCCCTGAGTCTAGGATTCTTCCCACCACAGTCCCTGCCTGTCTCTCCCAGCGCCCTCTCCTGCCTCAGAGCCCCAGCCAGGCTGGGATGTGCTCATGAGACATTCATCCAACAACTATGCATCGCTGTCCCGCGTTGTCCCAGGCCTGCCGGCTCCACAGGCCAGGATTCAGGCCAGAGGGAATGAGGAGGTGCTGAAACTGTGACACAGGGATGCCATTCCCATCATGCCATCCGCCCGGCGGCGGCGGCTGCCCAGACGCCTCTCGCCCCGGGGCTGAGACAAAGGCTCTGAGTGGGCAGGACACTGAGAGGGACAGGTAGACAGGAAGACAAGAGAGAAGAGGTGGATGAGAATGAGAGGGAGAAGGTCAGAGGTGTGGGAAGGAGAGAGGTGAAGAGGGAAATGGAAGGCAGGAGAAGGCAGAGCAAATGAGAAAACCCTTTGCTTCTTTAGGGAGCCCAGCCCCAGCCTCCCCCTCTCCTTGCCTCTGGCCCTTGCCTCTTGCCCTGCCCCTCCTGCCTTCTCTCTGCCTCCTGAAAGATCAGAATCACATCCTGTTGCCAGCTCAGGGGACCACAGGCAAAGCTGGGGACTCGAAGAGGAGAGAGGAGTCGCTAAGGTTTCTGACCCCTGGACTATGCAAGGACCAACCAAGACAGGCCTCCAGGGTCCCAGAGGGCCTCGCTCACTGATGCTGCTCTGCCCCTGGGGTCACCCAAGCTCACTCCCCACAGGAAGGCTCAGTTTTGTGTGGGAGTACTCTCAGGAGGTGGTTGGAGTCTGCGCAGGTACCTCAACATCCCCAAAGAGAGGAAAATGATACCACTCTCCGTCTTCCCTCCCCAAACCTGAACGCTCAGGAGCTCAGGGCTCCATATCAAGGCAGGAGAGGGTCGTGTCAGGTCTTCCATGGGGGTGAAAAGGCAGGGGCCTAGACACTTGACCCGGGACAATGCCAATGCAGGAAGGTTGGGGAGGGGGAGGGGCCAAGGGCGGAGCTGGGGGAGAGATGGGGAAGGAAGGGGAGGGCTAGGTGTTTCCATGGAGCTGTGTTTGTTTGGGGCCTTTTGACTGCTCTTCCTGTCTGGCAGCCACTGCTGTGACAGCCAAGACAGCTCTCTGACAGCTCCCAGGAGAGACTGCCGGGCCAGGGAGGAAGCAGCAGTGGGTTCCAGGTCCCGGCCGGGCCCAGCCCAGGGCTCAGCCCCAGGGCCCACCCTCCAGCAGGCCACCCCGTGCTCAGGCCCAGAGACCGCTCTGCAATGCCAGCCTCGAAGCCAGAGACTCAGCATTACCTGTGGCCTATCTAACCCCGGGGGCTGACAGAGGCACTCTGAAGAATCGGGCCTCCAACTTAAAGAAAATTAGAAGGGCCCTGGCCAGGTGACTCCGTTGGTTGGAGCATCATCCTATGCACCAAAAGGTTTTGGGTTCAATTCCCGGTCAGGGCACACACACCTGCTGTGGGCTCAATCCCCGGTAGGGGTGCATACAGGAAGCACCAATCAATGTTTCTCTCTCACATCGATGTTTCTCTCTCTCTTCCTCTCTCTCTAAAAATCAATTTAAAAAAAAAATGTATCACCCAGCTGGTGTGGCTCAGTGGATAAGCATTGGCCTATGAACCGGGAGATCACAGTTCGATTCCTAGTCAGGGCACATGCCCAGGTTGCGGGCTCAATCCCTAGTGTGGGGCGTACAGGAGGCAGTTTATCACTGATACTCTCTCATCATTGATGTTTCTATCTCTCTCTCCCTTCCTCTCAGAAATCAATAAAAATACAATTTTTTAAAAAACTTATCTTCAGGTAAGGATTAAAGACTTTAAAAAGAAGAAGATTAGAAGGTAGACCTGAGTCCCACACAGTAAGAAGAGAGCTTCGTTTTTTATCTGCCGCCCCTTCCAGGGGTCATCAGGCTCAGAGGCTAAGGTGAGAGGAAGGGCCCACAGCTCCAACTGTCTGGGCCCCAATCCAGCACCAGGACCTCAGACAGTCACCTAACTCCTCGGAGACGCAGCCTCCACCTCTGCAAACCAGGCTGGCGAGAATGAAAGCATCCACCTCAAATGAGGATTAAGGAAGCTAATCCATGCAAAGCATTTGGGGCATGCATATCTGACCTGCCCGCTGTCACCTGATTGTGGGGCCATTGCCTGCCATCCCCTTCCCCACAGAGGGCAAGGGCAGCTGAGTGGGGAGGGCCGGGTGCTGAGTCTGACCACATGCCATCCAGATACCAGGTCAGGGACACGGGGCGGCCATGCAGATGTGTGCCGAATGTGGCAGCCGTGTCAGACGTGGAAACAGACACCACTGCAGTGACCCAGTCACTCAGAAGTACCTCGTCAGCCCACCCCAGCATCAGTGCCTGAAACGCAGCCTCAGGATAGACTCATGGCCTTGGTACAGATCGCTGTGCCTTAGTGAGCCAGAAATGCCCCTTAGTGTGCGGGAAGGAGAGGGGAGGGGGCCTGCAGTGGCTCCCACCTCCAGCCTCTCTTCCTGCAGTCCCAGAGGGGGCTGAGAGCTCTTCCACCCCAGACCCCTGGACTCTCTCTCAGACATACTCCTCTCCCCGGTGACCGCTCCACCCAGGGTGGTGCCCCAGGTCCAAGGAGGGCACACGGAGCCAGCCAGCCGGGGGGGGGGGGGGGGGGGGAGCATCCAGGGACATCAGGCCAGGGAGGGAGGAAGAGGCAGGCCCAGGAGGGGAGGTGTGGAAGGGGAAGAGTGGGCCCCTGGAACTTCAGGAAGGTGGGAGGGGGTTCAGCTGGTAGGGGGTGAGGGGAGGAGAAGGGAGGCTGAGCCTTCTCCTGCCCATTAGAGGCTCTGTAGGAGCAAATTGCCATCTTTCCATTTTCACTTCATCTTTAAAATGAAACAGAGGAAGGAGATGCAGAAGTGATGGAGGAGGAATGGGAAGCAGGGAGTCAGGGGCCTAGAGGCCGGGCCACATCCGTCTCCCCCACCAGACTCAGCTCCCAGAAGGCAGGCACTGGTCGCGGCCCCCGTTTCCTGGGGGCTTTGTGCCAGCCCCCACGAGGCTCTCTGCGTCACCACCTCCTGTGGGGACTGGTAGCTCCATACCCATCTCACACGTGAGGACACAAACCGAGTACCTGCCTGAGGTCACACCGGTGGGGAGCGGCCAAGCTGAGTCTTAAACCCACGTCTCACTGTCCAAGGCCTGGACCATTCATTTTCTCTCCAGCCTCTGCAACAGTGGGGTGCACTTCGTAGGTGGTTAACAAATGGTAGATCCAAGGAAGGAAGGGGGCGGGGAGGGAGGAAGCATGGCAGAGGAGGAGGAGATGAGCCAGGGAGACTCCTGGGCAGCTGGAAAATAAATAATAAAGGTGTTGTTTTCCAGGACTAGGCTGGCACGGTGCCCAGCATGGCAGCCTTACACTCACTCAGGGAGATGCCCTGTACGCGGGAGCCCAGGGAACTGCGCTTGCCTCATCCCTTCCAGAAGTATGTGGGCCTGGATACGTCAGCCCTCAGGTATGCAGTGAGGTCTGCGGTGAGAGGCAAGCGCACACTCTCTCCCTCCTCTCCTCCCTTGCTGAGTCGCCCCTTCCTCTTGCCGCCTCCCCACTCCTACCCAGCCAGCTCAGACTTGCCCCCTCCCTGGAGCCAGGCCCTGCCGGGTTGGGGGCCGTGACCTACCCCCTCAGCGAGGCAGATCCCGGGCCTGGAGGAGTGGTGCGGGGGGAGGGGCCGGAGCACCACATCACCTCACCATCTAACAGGTTGGTCGGGCTGGGAAGTGCCCGCCCTCCCGCAGCTAATGAGCACTGTGCGACAGGTGTTTGCTCCTCAGTCCCCAGCCCAGCCGGCCTGAGAAGGGAGCCAGCTGCCAGCGCCACCCCACGGAGGTCCCCTCGCTCGCTCATCCCCGCGCCCGCCCCGCTCCGGGCCCGGGGGCCGCGATGGCCTGCCGCTCCTGCGTGGTGGGCTTCAGCAGCCTGAGCAGCTGTGAGGTGGCGCCAGCGGGCGGCCCCCGGCCTGGCACCTCGGAATGGGGCAGCTGCGAAGCCCCCGGGCTGGGCTTCAGCTCGCGCAGCCTCACCGGCTGCTGGTCCGCTGGCGCCATCCCCAAGGTGACGGTGAACCCCAGCCTGCTGGTGCCCCTGGACTTCAAGGTGGACCCGGCCATCCAGCAGCAGAAGAACCAAGAGAAGGAGGAGATGAAGGTCCTCAACGATAAGTTCGCCTCCCTGATCGGCAAGGTGAGGGGAAGCGGGAAGAGGGCCCAGAGAGGGAAGGACGGGCAGGTGGCTGAATTCTTGATTTCTGGAGCATCACGCCCCACCCCTGCCCCCAGCCAATGGGGTGCCGGCGATGCTAACTCTGCACGCTTGGAGCAGAGAGGTGTGGAGGGAAGTCCTGAGCCATCCTGACATTGGGGGGGAGGGGGGGACCCAGGATGGCCTCTGAGAGATGTCTGGATAATAGTGTGCTGTGTGGCCTGGGGTCACCTTCCCCGCCAGGCAGGGGCTAGGAAGGAGCCCTGAGTGTGGCCAAGAGAAGGCCCTCTGGTGGGAACAGCCGACGAAGGCATGGCCTTCGGTCTTCCTCTGGAGCAGGGGGGCAGTGGGGATGACCTCCCGAGGGCCCAGCCTCCTGTCCAGCCCACTGGCTCCGCTCAGCTGCCTGGAGTCAGGAGCACCGGCCGAGCCCCGGAGCGTGTGGGGTTCCGGAAGGAAGGAGGCCGCTGAGTGGGGTGCAGCCGTGGAGTCAAGAGATAGGAATGCAGGGGATGGAGGCGGCACGTCAGAGGCAGGCAGCCGGCCAGGCACCCACCTGAGTAGACAGACCGAGTCCCCAGAACCCTGGCTTCCCAGACCCCCGATGCCAGGGCAGCATGCTGGTCCGGGCACCCGTGTCACCTCCGCCCCAGGGCAAGGGCTTCGGGAGCTGTGAGGAAGCCCTGTCCCCTCCCCAAACCTGCTCCTCACTCACCTCCTTCCAGAAACCTCTCCTGCCCGGCCCTCGGCTCTGCTCCCTCCGGCCCTGCCCAAAAATAATAGTCACAACAGCAAGAGCTGCTGTTACCTAATTGTTTGTGATGTGCCAGCCGCCGTGCTGCATGCTTCCACCCTTACCTCTCTTTCCTTCAACCACCTTAGGAAGGAAGTCACTTTATGCCCATTTTACTGATGAGGAAAATTCACCCTTCTTGCCGCCCCCACCAGGAGGCCAGAGCCACCCCTCTGTCCCAGCTCATTCTCTCCTGCTCCTTGCTCTCCCTGCCTCTGGGTTCCTCTGCTGTTGCCAGTGTCCCAGGAGGTGGGTGCCCTCAGGGAGGGGCCCAGGGAGGAAGCAGCAGGCTTACAGCATCGCTGGTGTCTGGCTCTGTGTGGGAACTCAGCAGATGTGTGTCAGTCAGCCCACACACAACACCCCCAGGCTAGTTCCCTCGCTGTGCACGCGAGGAAACTAGGAAACTGCCCATCCAGAGCCCGAGTGCCTTGCCCAAGGTCACACAGCCAGCGAGTCCGAGGCTGGACTTGAACTCGGGTCTGTGAAACACAAAGCCAGCAGTATCTTTGGAGATAGGAACCGACTCTTTCTCCCGTGCACGTGCCCAGACCAGCATTCCTGCACCCATACCTGGAGTGCCTGGGTGGGGGGCGGGAGCATCCTCCCCAGCCCTGGCGGCTGCAGCGCCCTGCACTGTGGGCCGTTTGGCCTGGGAGGAGAGCAGCTTGCTGCTCTGGGGAGGCAGGTCCCTGCAGAGCCACCTCCTCTCCTAACCCAGATTAATTCCGTAAAAGGAATGCTTCACGAGCTATGTAATTTGGCTCAGATGGGTGGCTTGTTCCCTGAACTCCAGAGCTGATATTACTCTGTGCCTCTGCCATGGGGGGAAGGAGGAGAGACCAGGTACAGGGAGGGGCCTGAGGGGTTGGGGCCTGTGCCCAGGAGCCAAGACAATGCCCTCAAAGGTCTTCGGCAGGACTGGAGCCTCCCAGCCCTCAAGCTTGGACCTTGAGACAGGGGCTCTGCAGGGTGGGCGCAGGGAGCCTTGGGTGCCAGCCCTCGGGGGGCCCTGGTGGCTGGGGCTCTGCCCGGAGCCTCTCAGCTGACTCACCAATTCTGTGGAGATCTGTTAGCTCAAGTCCCTCTCTATCTCCTTGCAAAGGCCATGAGGCCTGGATGGAAGCAGGCAGCAGTTAAGAGTGTGCAATCTGGAGCCAAATTACTGGGTTTGAATCCTGCCATCCCCAACCTCTGACCAGGAAAGTTCTTTAACCTCTCGGTGCCTCAGTACACATCCGTGTAATGGGCTTGTCATTATCAAATGGGATGATTTAAAATAAAAAAATTTTTAAAAAAAACAAACTGCATGAAGCACTTACCATGCACCAGGTGTGCTGTTTGTTCCATTAAAAACACCATAAATGGGCCCGGCCCGTGATGAGCCCATTAGCCCCTTCCATGAGAAGAGGGGGAGAACCCTGCTGGGGGGGGGGGGGCGGAGAGGGGGGAGCTCCGTGGGTAGGAGTGCAGCAAAGGGCTTGAAAGGCATGTATGGGCTGGGGGTGAGATGCCATAACCAGTGTAGGGATGGGAGCTCTAGGCAAAGTGAAGGGACAGGCAAGGGCGCTCTGGCTCCACATCCCCTGTCCCTCCACATCCCTTCTCCCAGAGAAACCAGAGAGCCTGTGAGGAGGTTCTGGTCTCTGAGGGATAACAATGTGCTGTGTGGCCTGAGGTCACACACCACCCCCACCCCTCCCCCCCATGAGCTAGGGAGAAGCTCTGAGCATGGCCAAGAGGATGGCCCTCACAGGCATAGCTGATGAGGCATGGCCTGCCACCCTGCTCCAGAGCAGGTGGACAGTAGGGATGGCCTCCCAAGCATTCCACCTGCCTGTCCAGTCCGCTGGCCTGACTCACATCCTATGGGAAAGACCTGTTAGCTCAGGTCCCTCTCTATCTCCCTGTAAAGGCCATGAGGGCCTTGGTCATGGGGAAGGAAGAGGAAGAGGTGAGGGGGTGGTACTGGGGAAGACCACCAGGAGTGGGTAAGGCCCTGGAGCAGTGCTGGTTCCTCCGCTCGCAGGCTGGGTTCCTGGGCCTTACCCCCTCTGCAGCTCACTCGCCCTCCTGCTCTGAGGCTGGCCATGAGCGCATGCCAGTGGGAGGACTGGTCCAGCGATGGGAGGAAGGGGAGAGCAGAAGCAGCAGCAGGAGAGGAGGCTGAGGGAGAGGGCAATGTCACCATCCCGCAGAGGCCCTGGCTGGGCCCGCTCACCTTCACATGCAGACCACAGAGGGAAGGGAGGTGGGCCAGGAGAAGGGGCCAGCAGTCAGCCTGAGTGGGGAACTCAAAGGGGCAGTCACACGCCTGGAGACCGGGGTGGCACATGTCTTCCCCTGGGCCTGCGTGGCCTCCAGAAGTCACCGGAGCCGTGCCCTGCCTGCACGCAGGAAGGCACATACCAGCCCTTCCTGACCCAGAGGCCCCCGGGCTCCCGGGGCAAAGCCAACCTCTGGCTGAAGGCAAGGGAGGGGGTCTGGCAAACCCCTCACCTGAGGAGTTGGGCCTGCAGGCCCACGGACACGCCTGTAGGCTCGCCTACCTGAAGCCCGTGGGTTGGGGCTCTGGGCTGCTCGTTTCCCCAGGACAAAAGGCACGGCTCTGGTCTAGCTGCTGCGTGCCAGGGAAGTGGGTCACAGTGAAGTCTGGGCCTCTGTTTCCTCATCTGCACAATGGGAGGCAGGTTTGCTCTCTGAGGTCCCTCCTAGCACTGCCACCCTGTGACCTAAGAGCAGGGGGTCAGCCAGGCGGGGAGGAAGGGGAAGGAGAGCCTGGGAGGACGGTGACAATTATCCTGGGCGGCCTTTGTTCGGGGAGGGAGGAGCCCCTCTGTGGGGGTTCAGTGCATCCCCCACCACTGAGACAACAGGCAGCTCCCCCAGGGGCAGCAGGAGGAAGAGGGGGCTGCTCCCGTCCCCACCCCCACAGCCAAAATGCCCCCCGGCTGGACTGGCTGGCCAAATGCACCCCCTCTCCCAGGGGCTAGTGCTGCACAAAGGGGGTTGGGGTCAGACTTCGGGAACGGGAATGACTGCCGGGGGTAAAGGGTGTTTTGCTGCTGTGGGTGGAGGAAGGAGCCTCACGTCTCTCCTCTCACCCCACCCTCAGAGTAAACACGGGCTCCTGCTTGTCAAAACGGAGCTGAGGTGGGGCGAGCGGATACCTCCCCTCCAACAAACCCTCTCACACACACAAGCACAACAGAAACCCTCCTGACTGCCACCCCCACTGAACCTGTTTGGCTGCGCCTGCCGCCGCCAGCAGGCTTAGGTCAGCTTCAAGCAGAACTTCCCAGCGCCAGTGGGCCTGAGCGGGGGACTATCCCGATATCCTGCTGGCGTTGTCACTGGCACGCCAAGGGCATGCGGCCGTGGGGGATGTGAGCAGAGCAGAGAAAGGGAGAGGAGGCCCACCCGGCACCCACATTCAGAAGGAACGGGGAACCCCTGAAGGTCCAGCACAGGCAGCCACTGTCAGCTGGGAAGCTGGGCCACCCAGTGACTGGGTGACACTGGACAAGGCACTTGCCTGCCCTGGACCCCCACCTCCTCCCCTGTGATTGGGGGGCACAGACCAGCCGATCCAAGGCGCCCGGCTGTGATTCTGGGAGCTGGTGCCAGCAGTGGGCAACAAGGGGCCAGCTCCTCGCCTGCAGCCACAGGGAACTCCATGGGGCTGTCCTCACTGCATCCTCATGACCACGACAGCCCGCACTGTCCAGAAGCCAGGCCCCGCCACCCGCCTGCCTTCGTGGCCTATCCCTGTCCCAGCACCAAGGGGTTAGGGACCCCAAGAAGGGAGCAGACGGCTGTCAGTCTGACGGGAGGGTGGTAGGTCCAGACAGGTGAGGAGCAGATAAACTGAGGGCCTCGTACTGAGGGAGTGGGGCAGGGGCAGGCCGGGGGCGGGGGGGGGGGGGTTGTTGCAGGAGGGGAGGTGGGGGCACATCCGGGCTGGGGAGGGACTGGAGTGGTGGAAAGGGTGGACCCCAAGAAGGCTGGCACCTGGAGAGACAGGCAGGATGAGGAAGAGGCAGGGGAGCCCAGGCTGGCCGGCCAGGACTGGGTGAGGGAAGGAGAGCACTCTGGAGGGACCCTGGCAGCCTGCTGATGGCTGAGGAGTAGGCAGAGGGTGCCCGTGGAACAGGAGAGTGCGAAGGAGGCGGAGGTGGAGAGGAGCAGCTGAGCCCACGGCCCCAGCCTCTCTCCTGAAGGCACAGCTGGCCTAGCTAGAGGCAGAAGGGCAGGTGGGCGCAGGGCCCACAGTGGGCCCTGCAGACAGGAGCAGACAGGAGGCACGGGCGGCAGTGGTTAAAAGATCCTAATCCCAAACTCCCTGCAGTCCACACCTGCTCCACCACTTGCTAATGCCGTGACCCCAGTCAAGTTCACCTCTCTGTGCCCTGGTTCCTCGTGGGCGGAGTGCAACTCACAGCAATACCCCTTTGGATTGCAATGGGGATTGGATGGGGTTAGCACTTTAAGCATTAGAACAGGCCTGATACCCAGAAGGAGCCACATCATCGCTTGCTCTTGTTTCTATTTCAAGGTACATCCCAGGCGCTCCTCCCCCAACGGCCCACCTCTGTGGGCAGGTGACATTATCCCCAACTTCTAGCTGGGGAAACGGAGGCTCGGCAAGGCTACAAACCCATGGTTGCCGGGAGGATTAGCATTTAATTAGTAGCCAGGCCCTACCCTGCTGTGTTTCCAAGGCAAGATGAGACTAGGCTTGTCGAAGGGGGGGCGGCAGACGGGCCTCTGACACCTCAGGTTCCCTGGAGTCTCCCACCTGAGCCCCAGGCCCGCACAAGGAGCCCTCACCCTCACGCCCTGTCCCCTTCCTTCATCGAGCTGGCCCCGCGCCTCCCCTAGGAAGCTGTGCTAATTGGCTCCACCTCTCTGGATCCCTCCTTATCTCGCCATCTTCCGTTGGAACAATCAGTCGTCAGAGGTGCCATCCGAGCGCTGAGTGAGGGCCCCAGATGGGTGTGCAGCGCCGATGAGCTGCCACCTCCCAGGGGAGCCCCCGAGGGGGCGCGATGGCGGGCCCGGGGCCTCGGGGCCCGAGCCTGGCCCCGTCACCGAAGCCCTCCTGCTCTGCCAGGTGCAGGCCCTGGAGCAGCGCAACCAGCTGCTGGAGACGCGCTGGAGCTTCCTGCAGAGCCAGGGCACCGCGGCCTTCGACCTCGGGCACCTGTACCAGAAGTACGAGGGCCGGCTGCAGGACGAGCTGCGCGCCGTGAGCCAGGAGCGGGGCCAGCTGGAGGCCAACCTGCTGCAGATGCTGGAGAAGGTGGAGGAGTCCCGGATCAGGTAGATTGGCCCTCGCCCTCGGGGGCGGGGGGCAGGGACTGCGGGTGGGGACCCGGGAACAAGGTCCAGGGCTCTCAAGCCAGAAAAAGGGGGAGCTTCTCGAGGAAACTTTTCTTTACTCCAGACATACTCAGTGAGGACCTACTATGTGCTGGGCAGTATTCTAGATTCCAAGGGAATAGAGCAGTGAATCCACAGTTCCCTACCCCCAAATAGGGACGCGTACAACTAGGTCAGGCTCGTGATGGACAGCTAACCACTGCCACTGTCCCCTGTCCCCTCCTCTTGTGTCCATACCACGACAGCCCACACTGTCCAGAAGCCAGGCCCAGCCACCCCTCCTGCCTCCGAGGCCTATCCCTGTCCCGGCACCAAGGGGTTAGGGACCCCAAGAAGGGAGCAGGTGGCTGTCAGTCTGATGGGAGGGTGGTAGGTCCAGACAGGTGAGGAGCAGATAAACCGAGGGCTCATACGTCCCACTGGCAGTGGGACGTCACGATGGCTTGGTTGGGCTGGCAGGGAAGCTAGCGGATGCAGGCAGGACAGAAGCAGTGGGTTTTGTTGGAACAGAAAGGCAATCTTCCACAGGTGGTGTGTGCAGACCTCGGTGGGGTCCAGAGAGATGAGGGAGACACGGCCCCAGCCTGCACTATGCTTTTAGAACTTTGGGGGACAAGCTGGCAGGTGGGATTGCCCAGTGGTTAGAGACCTGGTCTAGGTATAGGCTGAAAGAGACTGACTCCCTGCCCCCTCCCACCCTCGCTTTGTGGCCTCTGTCCAGTTGTTTAGCAGGAGAACCTCCGTTTCCTCCTGTCTGGGTGGATACCAAGTGGGGCTGGTGTGAGGAGCAGGTGGAGAGTTCCGTGTGGCGATGAGTGGCCACTCCCCTAGCCCTGAGGAGGCTGAGTGCCCGGCGCACAGGGCCGTCCCTGACGCAGACTTGCTGGGCTGCACTGGCCGGTCTAGAAAGGCAGACCACACACGTGGGCGACTCAGAGGACAGATGACCCTGTCAGATCAGACAGTGGCCAGGGCTTCCCGGACAAGGAGGCTGGGCAGGGCAGAGAGACCCTGGCCCTACACCCCCTTCTCAGGTCTGGTTTCCAGCCAGGGTGAGGGGTGGACAGGATGTGGTTCAGCCCCCCTCTCCACCTCCCGTATTTGGGTCCTGCCTCAAGCCCCGCTGACCTGAGCTGAGGCCTGCTGTCTCCAGGGCAGCCAGCAGACAGGGCTGGAGGGTGTGGGCAGCCTGTCCTGGGACATGGGCTGGGGCTTAGCTCGCCCATCACCTCCTCTGTTCAGGCCACATTCAGAGGGCACGGTCTCACAGGACACGCTCCCCACTCAGGGGCCCCGGTTCTCTCCTCGGCGAGACTGCCGGGAACTTTTCAGCCAGAGGTGTGATCTGCAGCCTTGGCCAGGACTGGTCCTTATTGCTGGGCCCCTCCCTGGCCTGGAGGTCACCTCTACTCCAGCCCTGCTCTCCCAGGCCCTGGATAAACACCTAAGGAATCTGACTGCCCACTCTGACCGTAATGGGGGAAGTTATGACTCAGTTCACGGGTATCTAGTCGGTCTTTGGCCCTCAGAGGATCAGAGAAGGCAGAGCTGGGGAAGGCCTTGGGTTACGTGGGGGAGGAATCACAGGCCCGGAGCGGCCAGGGGCTGGTCCTCCGTCACCGAGCCGTGCGTGCTAAAACCCATCCCCGGCCCATGTCATCCAGGGTGAGGGCTGCTCCCATGAACCCGGCCAGATCACATCTGCGGAGATACTTTGTAACTGGAAGTTCTGTACAAACACTGCTCGTTCTAATCTGGCCCAGCCCCCTCCTTTGGCCCGCCGCCTGGTTTCTTTCCATCTGCTGCCTGATTTCACTATTTAGGCTCAGGGCTCCCGTCCTCTCTCCAGGTAGGGAACCCACCTGAGTTGAGGGGAGTGAGGCCAGAGGGCTTCCCGGTCTGCAGGCCAGAGCCCGGGAAGCTGCCGCCTGCCCTGGCAGAGCCCCCGGCCCTCAGGAGCCGGGAGACGCCAGCCCAAGCCCTGACAGGGAGGGGTGTGCCCTGCCTCCTCCGGGCCGATGAGATCAGCCTCGCTCCCAGATATAAACAAGTTGGGGAGCGAGGGGGGTGTGGGCGCCACGAGCTGAAAGGGCTGAGAACGGGTTTGGGAGCTGGGGACAGGCAGAGCTTGAAGGTGAAATGGGGGGCATGGCGTCTATAGAGATGGAGACTTCCCAAAGCTTGGATGTAGACAGGACCCCAGGGATCAGCTAGCCAACCCTCTACTTACTAAAAGAGAAGCAGAGGCCCAGCTAGAGGCACAGGCTGCTCCCTTCACAAGAGCACGGGGTTCAGGGGGTGACCTGGGGCCCAAATCCAGCAGAGCCCATGAGGAGGGAGGAGGAAGGCTGCACAGAAGGATGGGAAAGGCAGGGAGGGGTAAAGAGGAGTTTGGCACCACAGAGGCCCCACCTGGACAGCTCTCCCCAGGCGGGCAGAGCTCCCCTATCCAGGGAGGCGGGGAGAAGGGGAAGGTTTGACCACCAGTCAACAAGGGGCTACTCTGATCTGGGCTCCCCAGGACAGGGAATTCCCGGTTCCCCCGATTCCAGAGGGAGGCCTGTTCAAGTCCGCCTGGCCTGGAGGGTTTGTAAAGGCCGCGCGTGCGAGAACCTCCTGAGCTCTCTCTGCAGTGAGGCCTCCCCCGCTTCTCTCTGAACATGCTGAGGCCACGGCAGAGGGGCTGAGAACTGGAGCTTAAGTGGTAGCAGTAGCAGTAGGTTTAGCAGGCCCCACGCTCGCATGCAGTGAGCAGTCATGTTTTTGCTTATTTCATCCTCACAACATCACCTGGTCAGGAGTGAGGCATGCACAAGTAGCTTATCCAAGGTCCCCCGGCTGGAGCCCACCTGGCCTGCCTCTGGGACCAACCACACGAGCCTCTGGACCCTTCTCTGGGCCTCCATTTCCTCATCTGTGAAATGGGGCCAGCAGCCTTCCTGGCGGGGGACTCTGAGGCAAAGCTTCTTGGGCATTTTGTCCACCCTGGCAAGTCCCTGGCCCGCCCTCCCCCTGCCACCGTGGCCTGCACCCTCAGAGCCCCTTGCAGGCTCTGGAAGCCAAGGCGGCAGCAGCCAGGCAGCACCCTGAGTTTCAGATCCAGCACCCTGCAGGCCCTCACCCCTGGGTCAGCCCCCTCAGCTCCTCGGAAAGGCCAGGCCGGCGGGAAAGAAGGCCTGAGGGCTGCGGGTCGGCAGCTGATGTGGGAGGGGTGATGCTGCCCTGCTGGGAGGTCAGGGACTGGGCAGGCGGCTGTAATTAGAGCCTCAGTGACTCAGGTATTCCCTGGGAGGAGGGGAGCAAGCAGGAAGCCACAGAACCCCCATGTCCCTGGGGCAGGCAGGGCTGGGGGGCGAGAAGGGGGGCGGGGCTGGCAGACACCCCCCTGCAGAGCCAAGACAGAAGTGTGGACTAGAGGAAGAGGGTAAGGTCAGGGATGCAGGGACCCATCTCCCCATCCAACAGTATCCTTGTTCCAAACACAAGGTGGACTTGGGCAAAGGAGGCAAAGCTGAGGGGAGAGGGCCATCTTAGCTGAGTGCTGACTGTGCACATCTGTCATTGTGTCAGGAGGGGACTGCATCGGCCCCGGTACACACGCACGTGCGCACACACACACACACACACACACACACATGCTCATGCACACATGCATGCACACATGTACACAGGCACACCCCTGTAGATCAGGGATTCAAGGAAGGAGGGATAGAGTTTCCTGCCCAAAACCGCACTGAGGGTTTGTCTGACTGTAGAGCCCACATTCTTCCTGCCCTCCTTCTGGAGGGGCACAATGGAATGGTGTCCCACCATCCAGCAGAAGGGAGGAGGGAGGGGCTGCAGGGAAGGGTAGAGGTGGGAGAGGGAAGGGATGAACGGGATGCTCTATGCAGACCTGAGACTCCTAGGGAGGAGCTAGGGGGAAGATGAGAGAACAAAGTGTCAGAGTGAAAGGGTTACCAATCCCGAGAGGCTTCCTGGAGGAGGCGAGTGTGGAGCAGAGCCAGCAAGGGGACAGACGCCAGCAGGAGAGGACTGGTGAGAGTCAGGAAGGAGAAGGGGTTGGCCTGCCTCCCCAGAGCCAACAGAGTGTGTCACTGGGGCAGGAGGGCTGTGTCATAGAAGAGGGGCTCCATCCACCTGAAGAAAGGACTAGTCTTTGCTCATTGTCACAGGCACCAAATGAGACAGCAAAAGCCCTAAACCCTGCCCAGGGTGGGCTAACCAAACCCCAAGCTCTCAACACATCCATCTGAGCCACCTCTCTCTCTGTGTGTGTCTCTCTCCCACCCTCCTCGCCTCCCAGGTATGAAGAGGAGATCTCCAAGCGCACAGACATGGAGTTTACCTTCGTCCAGCTGAAGAAGGTAGCCTGCCTCGGGCTCCTTCCCCAGGGACCCTCTGCCTGCTTCCCCCCAGGATCCCCCAGCAAAGCCCTCAGAGGCTTGAATCCCAAGACCACAGAGATCCCTGTCCCCACCTGCTCCTCCTCCAGGCTCTGAGTCAGGTCTCCCCTGGGAATCGCTCCCATCTGACCCAGGAAGCCAAGGCCCCCACCCCACTCCTGCCCTGGGACCCCCGACTCCCTCTCCCATCACTCACCACTGCTCCCACCCCCAGGACCTGGACACGGAGTGTCTTCGACGGACCGAACTGGAGACCAAGCTGAAAAGCCTGCAGAGCTTCGTGGACCTGATGAAAACCGTCTATGAGCAGGTGAGGAGCAAGGCGGTGTCCCGCCGAGCCACATGCTGCCTGGCCCGCAGCCGGGGTGCGGGGGAGGGAAGGAGCCGCACGGTCACTCTGGTCACTCGCTGCTTCTGGCCACAGTCGTAACGATTTCCTAGCCCCTTCCTGCACTGCTGTCCATCATCCAACCTCTCCCTGGTCACATGTCTTGTGGAGCAGGGGCAGGTGGGTTCCCCAAAGACCTCTCTCTGGGAGCAAATGTGCTTTCCTGGTGCTGAGGGCACACGGGGACCAGGGGCCTCTGAACAAGGGTCAGGAGGTGGCCTCAGAGTGGGAACCTCAGAGCCACTCCTACTGAGCGATGTCCCTGCCCCGTCCCGGCAGCCAGATTGCAGGTCCCTGGGTTCAGCTCTGATAGCCACGCGCTTCGCCTTCCCTTGTTCTGAGCCAAGGCAGGGAAGACCGTGGTCAGATTCTCTGGTTCCAAAGTAACACCAGCTTCTACCACACAAAAAGGACCCAGTAAATGCAGACAGGGAGCCTCCAGACACACTGCCTTGTCCCTTCGTCCTCAGCGGAGCCTGGGGGACCATGGCCCAGCGAGGCCTAGCGCAGAGCCAGTGCAGTCGGCAGCGGGGGCCTGCCACAGGCTCCTGGGCGCTGCCCCCACACACACCACTCCGCCTCCTGGACATCCTTTGGGATATGTGTCCTCCTCTCCACACCTCCTGTTTCAGGGGTGAGACCTTAGAGGGGTGATGCTTCAATTCAGCTCTGAGCAGGCAGCCCACTGCAAACAGCTGTTGCCCAGCTATGGCAGCCTGGTCTCATCTTGCCTGGGGATGACAGGACGTGGCAGCCCACATAATACTGCAAACAGCTGGTGCCCAGCTATGGCAGCACAGCCAAGGTCAGAGCAGGGATCAGTGTCACCTCCACAACCAGGAAGTTCTGCTAACATGGTCCTGGGGGCCGCTGACCACCATGTCACAGCCTTCTCCGGTGGAGAGGGAGGGAGTGTCAGTGCTACACAGACTCTCTGCCCCAATTCCCGGTGGGCGCAGCCTCGGCAGACAGCAGCAGGGCCCGTGTTTCTGAATCTGACCTCCGCTCAGCTCCACCCAGAGCCCTCACTCCGAGCCAGGTCAGCGGTTTCACTGGCAGGGAGCTATGGGGGAGGAAGGCCAGGCATAACCACACGTCTAGCTGAGCATGGCAGAGCTGCTCGGCTCCTGTTCCATTTATTTATTTATTTATTTGTTTGTTTTTCAATATGTTTTATTGATTATTTACGGAGAGGAAGAGAGAGAGGGATAGCGAGTTAGAAACATCGATGAGAGAGAATCATCGATCAGCTGCCTCCTGCACACCCCCTACTGGGGATGTGCCCGCAACCAAGGTACATGCCCTTGACCGAAATCGAACCTGGGACCTTTAGTGACGCTCTAGCCACTGAGCCAAACCGGCTCCTGTTCCATTTAGACGTTGCAGCCCTTGGACCCCAAGCCCGACTCTGGCTCTTTACCATTTCTATGACTTTGGACAAATTACTTCTCTGCTCTGTGCCTCGGTTTCCTCGCCTGTAAAATGGGAAAAGTAATAGCAGCAGGCTCGTAGGCTCGTGATGAGGACTAAGGCTATTCATCCATCTAACAAATGTGAACTCCATGCATGCCGACGCCAGGCAATGCTATCACAGCAAGCGAGCAAGGCAGCCAAGGTGCCTGCTCTCAGGGGTGCAGCTGAGCTAAGAGGGGACAGTAATAAGCAACTAAACAAGCATCTGAAGAAAGATCCTTTTGGAGAGTGAGAAGCCCTGGGCTGCAAAGAAACCAGTGATGCTATCATGCTGGAGGGAGGGGAAAGCTTTGGACCCCAAGGTCAAGGAGCATCTCAGAGGAGGTGCACCCAGCCCAGAGGAGACTCAAGGAGGCTTCAGGCAGAAGGAAGAGCTGTGCTAGCACCGAAGGCAGAAGTGAGTTTGGTGATGAAAGAGAAGAAAGAGCCAGGCGGAGTGGGCGGGGCCAGACTATGTAGGGCTTGGACCCAGAGCCGGCTGTGGACCTTATTCTAAGTGTGCTGGGGGAGGGGGGCTGGGAGGGTGCTGCGGTTGGGGGGAGAGGAAGGGGGCCTTGGCTGTGCTGGTGGGAGAGTACCATGGGAAGGGACGGCAGTGAGAGCCGCAGGGGCTCAGCTCAGAGCTGGCACTGGCACTTTGGGAGGCAGTGAGGTCTGTGTTTCTCTCCAAGGGCCACTGCAGGCTGCGAAGGCAGACTGACCCTCTGCTAAAAAGGTTCCCTGCGCAGTGAGCCTCTGCGCGGCACTAACAGAAATATAGTGAGCCACATGTCACTGTGCAGAATTTTATACACAATGATGCAATTTAATGTGTAATTTTAAGTTTTCTAGTAGCCACATTCTTTTAATAAAAAGAACAGAAAAAATAATTTTAATAATACATTTCATTTAGCTCAATATGTCCAAAATGTGATTATTCTACATGTGATCAATATGAACAAATGAACAGGCTGTTTTTTCCTCATATTAAGTCTTCAGTATCCTATGTGTGTTACACTGACTGCCCACCTCAGTGTGACTACAGCTAGTGGCCACCGCGTCAGGCAGAGCAGGGCCACTGCGGGGGGAGGAAAACGTGGCAGATGTGAGACGCCCCAGAGGGCTGGACACGCTTCTTTCAACTCTGGAGCAGATACCAGATCAGCAAGCCATGGGCTACTTCTGTAGGCCCACCTCCGTGTCCCCGAAAACAGCCCTTGCCTCTCCCCAAAACACACACACACACACACACACACACACACCACACATACACACGCCACACGCAGATATGCATACAAACACACACATACACAAACACACACACACACACCACACACATACACACGCCAAACACAGATACATACACACACAAACACACACATACACAAACACACACATATACACACACATACACAAACACACACACACATACACACATATACACACGCCACACACACCACACACAGATATACCTACACACACACACAAACACCACACACATATACACATACACACTCACCCCACACACACCACACAAACACACACTTGCATACACACGCCACACACACATATACAGATGCACATATCACACGTGCACATACCACACACACACATATACATCACACCACACACATACACACACCCCACTATACACACACATGCACATATATACACACACCACACATTCACACACACCACACACATACACACATCACACACATACACACATATACACATACACACATCACACATACATAAACACACACCACACATACACGCATATATATACACACCACATCCACATCACACATATCACATGCATGCACGTGTCACACATCACACGTGCACATATACCACACACACCACACATACACCCATGCATATACACACACACCACACTTACACACACACCACACACACAAACACACCACAACACATACATACCACACACACATCACATATACACACACACCACACACACACACACACACACACACACAGAGACGGATAGGCCTGAAAGCCTTTCCCAGGAGCCAAAGGCCATGGCCTGCTTGGGCCCGTGGGCACACTGCATCCTCCTGGGCAGTCCCCCTGCCCCCTTAGGGCACAGGCTGGTGAGAGAAGCCCAGGTGACAAGCTCACATCCCCCTCAGCTACCAGAGTGCGTTCCAGGCCCTGCGTGTATCTGGGCCCGGCTGCGGCCAGCCAGAACGCCGCCTACCCCACCCATAATCAGGGAGATTAGCCAAAGCCGAGGACACCCCCCTGCAGCCAGGCACACCTCCCGGGACGCGATTGCTGCACCGGGAACCTGCCGAGGCTAAGCTGCCTTGGCGCCTGCCTCGGGGCGTCGGCTGCTCTACCCCGGACACTTCCCCCGGCTCCATCGTCTTCACAAGTTACAAAAACGTCCCTAGCCACTGTTTATGGAGGGCCTTCTGGATCCCCGCACCGGGCACGTGCCTTCCAGACATAATCTCATCTAATCCTCAGAGCTCTGTGAGGGAGGGAAGATGGTTAAAACAACACAGTCGTTAGAGAGCTTGGATGTGAATCCTGGCTCAGTAATATGTGAACTCAGCAGGTTCTTTTGTCACTTCAAGCCTCAGTTTCCCCATCTGTAAATTAGCAGAATAGCAGCACTACCTCACTGGCCTGCTGTGAAGATTTATTTTGTTACTATAGCCCCAAACCCTGGCCCATGGGAAGTATTGTAAACAGGAGCTTGTAAGAGGTGGTGGCATTCAGAGCCCAATGCCCTTCTCACACTTCACTGAGCACCATGGCGTGAGCCCTCAGACCTAGGCCACAAGGAGCGTGCCCACCCGATCCACCTGGTGGCTCCTCAGCCCCTGGCTCCCCAGAGGAGCTCTGAACTGTCCTCCGGCATCATGCTTGCCAACGTGGAGGTGACATCCTCCTGGGGCCCAGCCCGGGGTGGCACTGCCACGCCACACAAGGCAGCATTGTTCCACCCCGCGCAGCCCCGTGGGGCTGGCGTGTCTGAACAGGCCTGCAGATGTCCCAAACCCTCCACTTCCTGCTTCTGTTTACCAAGCTCCTGCGTACCCTGCTCCATCAGCTGTTTCACCAGTCCTGTACCCTGGCGGGGAAGCCCTCCTACTGTGTGTGTTGACAGTGCCCGGGCCTGTTCCCGAACTGAAACAAATGCCAACCTAGGCCTGGATTGGCGGTGCTAATGGAAGGCCTTCTTCAGAACCCGTGGACCTGGTGACCGAAGGCCCCGTAGCTGCATCTCTGTCCCCCGCCGAGCAGGCCTGGCCGGGATGTGGGTTCCATGTGGGAAATGCCAGTCTCTGTGGTAACCAGGGGCAGCAGAGGTGGGTGTGAGTCTGTGGGCACCATTAACCTTATTCTGGCACGGGGCAGGCCCTCCCTTGCATTTGACCCATGATCTCTGTTCATCTGAAGGTCACCCAAAACCCTTGTCAGGAAACCCCCTAAAGGGCAGCTGGCCACTGGGCTCAGGGCCCTCAGCTTCGCGGCAGAGACAGGATGGATGCTCCAGCGAGGCTAGGATGCCGGCCTTGCCCAGCTTCCTCTTCCGGAGCCCATCCTTGTCACCAGGGATGCTGGTGGGCGGAGCTGGCCAGTGAGCAGATGGGGAGGGTGGCTTACTCAGCGGCCCACGGGACACTAGCTGAGCCACCCGGGCCCTGCATTCTATGGCTTCAGGGTTACAGCTGCAGGTCAGAGGTACCTGCCTCGGCAGGTAGAGACTCCAGAAGCTCAAACACAACCTCTCTGAGCATAAAGACAGGTGGAGGGTCAAGGACTGGCCCAAAGTCAGGAAACAGGGTCAGCATTCGGTCATGAGCCAAAATCAAACCTGGATCAGAGCAGACCTCCAGTTCCGACTGCCGGTTTTTAGAAACGCAGCGGCAGAGGTGCATGCTATGCACCAGCACAGAGGACAATCAGTAAAATGCAGAGCGCGGGGCGCTTCAAGACAAGCAACCCAGTGTTCTCAATTTTTAAAAATAGCAACAACAGCAACAAAAAAAAGCAGAGAGCCGGGACCGGTTTGGCTCAATGGATAGAGCGTCGGCTTGGGGACCGAAGGGTCCCGGGTTCGATTCCGGTCAAAGGCATGTACCTTGGTTGCGGGCATGTCCCCAGTGGGGGGTGTGCAAGAGGCAGCTGATCGATGACTCTCTCTCATCGATGTTTCTAACTCTCTATCTCTCTCCCTTCCTCTCTGTACAAAATCAATAAAATATATTTAAAAAAAAAAAAAAAAAAGCGGAGAGATGGCAGGGGTACCTGCGTATACAGCGAGAGAGGCTTAGAGACATATGGACCAGCCGCAGTATATGCACTTTGTTTGGATCCTGATTCAAACAAACAAGTAAAAATATATAAATATATCAGAAAGATATAAATATATATATATATATATATGTGTGTGTGTGTGTGTATATATATATATATATATATATATATATATATATATATATATCTTTCTGGACAAAATCTGATGCCTGAAGGAGAGGCCAAGGATGGGCTGTGAATGCCAGTGGGAGCAACTACGTCTGCACCCCACTCCCTCCTCCAGGACAGCTTCGCCCCCACTGCCTGGCCCCCTCCGGCCTCTAGGACACCTGGCTCACTCTGTACCATGCTGGCCTCCTCCTTCCCATGAGGCCCTACCCCCTTCTCCCCCCTCCCCATCCTCCACTCCCCAACAGATGCCAGCAGGTCTTTAGCGCCTCCAGGGGAAGCAGCCCAGGGCCAGAGAGGAGACACCTCACGAAGACCCTGCCCCCACCTGCCTCTCTGCACACCCCTGAGCATTCAGGGCACGTGCTATTAGGTGTGCCAGCAAGAGCCAGTCTGGGGCTAGAAGGACAGCCGCTTCCCCTCCTGTCTCCGCCCCTCTAAGGGGCATTCCCAGTGTCCCCATAGCCTCTTTGCGCCGGGCTCCTTTCCTGTCTGTGATCTGGGCTCACACTCCTGCAGGCCTGGTGAGGGTGGAATGCCAGGCTGCCCGGGGGTCACTCAGCACACAGCCGGGCCTGGGTGAGCCCCGGGAAAATGGGAGGCTTTACCACTCTGGCCTTTTCTGAGCGAGAAGAGGACAGAGAGGAGGGACCGAGAGGGACCCTATAGGACAGAGAGAGGAGGGAAGTGTTGAAGTTGAATCGCGTTGTTATTGTTGCTGGGCAAGCCCCTCAGCTAGATGGGGAGGGGCCCGCGTTTTGGGGTGACCCTGATGCCCTCCGGCCTCAGCCTCTGGCAACGGGAGGGGAGTCTAGGCTTGTCAGTCTCTGGTCCCACGTCTGCCCCTCAGCATTCTTGGGCTTCCCTCCCAACTTGTATCAACGAACTGAGCTGCTCCCTTACCGGATGTGGAGGGCCTGGGGGTGAAATGGTTCTGCCAGACCCTCAGGGAGCTCCCCATCTCGGGGAAGGAGGGGTGTAAGCTGCACATCATTGAGCCACAGTGATGCAACCTGAGCAGAGAGAACACCTCCCCCAGGCCCAAATGTCCGGCAGCCAGGAGGAAGGTGTGTGCCCAGGGTAGAGTGGGGAGAGTGAAGAACTAGGCTTGCAGAACAAGATAGGCCTGGGGCCAGGAGTCCTCCCTGTGCCCCTCTCCTCTGCTCAGTGAGGAAAGCCCAAGGGTGGGCAAGCAGAGTGCAAGCTTGGGGGGCGGTCCCGCTCTGATCGTCTCTGCAGGAAGACAGAGGAGCCTACCTTCCCCTCGCCTTGGGGATAAAGGGACTCAGGGGCGCCCCCCACTAGCCCTGAACCCCCACGTCTGTGCCGCCAGGAGCTGAAGGACCTGGCAGCCCAAGTGAAGGACATGTCTGTGACCGTGGGCATGGACAGGCGCTGCCACATCGACCTGAGCGGCATCGTGGAGGAGGTGAAGGCCCAGTATGACGCCATCGCGGCTCGCAGCCAGGAGGAGGCGGAGGCGTACTCCCGCAGGCAGGTTGGTGGCTAACCAAGCGGTGGGAGAGGCGGCCGGGGCTGCACGGGGGGCGGCTGAGGCCACCTCAGGCGTGTCTGAGATCCTGGGGATGGAGGAGGAGCACAGGGGCAGCGGCCACAGCAGTCAGTTCACAGGCAGGCGGGGAGAATTGGTAGCTCAGCGTTGTGCTGGGCCCCAAGGGGCGATGTGGGCCGGGAGAGCCCACAGTCTGTTCCCCCCAGAAGCTCAGGGTGCTGTGCCACCCAGCAGTGCTAGGCCAGGTGTGGGCACAGCGTGTGCAGCTCAGTCTAGGGCAGCTGTAGGAGGCGCGGTGGGGCAGGACAGGGCTTAGGAGCCGGGAGGCTGGCTGCCGTGATGGCTGCAGAGGAGGGGGCTGGGGTGAGCGGAAAAAGAGCAGCAAGGAGTGAGAAACAGGGTACTCGGGGGAGGGGGGGCAGAAGGGGGGGAACGGGACACAGTGAGCAGTTCTTGCCCACCACCCCCTCTTCGCCCTCCAGCTGGAGGAGCGGGCCGCCTGCTCAGCCGAGTTTGGGAACAGCCTTCAGAGCAGCCGCAGCGAGATTGCTGACCTCAATGTGCGCATCCAGAAGCTCCGGTCCCAGATCCTCTCCGTCAAGAGCCACGTGAGTCTGGAGGACCCCCTGGGGGTGGTAGGAGCAGGGAGGAACACGGGACACATGTTCTCCCCCTCTCTCCCTTTCCCTCCCCCTCCCCCCTCCCTCACCGCTCACACACATAGACACACAGACACTCACTCATGCATGCTGAGTACCTGCAAGAGGAGTGGCCTAAGTGACCTGCAAGTCCTTGAGCACCTCTGAGCCTCCGTTTCCTCCCTGTCCTACTACATGGCTCTGAGAATCACAGGATCTCTGCCTGGGAGAGGGCTCTGTGGACCGGCCGGGGCTGTTCGGCTGTTAGAGAGCACCCCCCCCCCCCACGCACGCCCAGAGCCTGCCACTTCCTGCCAACCTCCCAGAGAGGAGCGAGTGATGGGCCCTCAGAGCAAGTGCTGCCCGGGAAGGACAGCTGAGACGGGTGGCCTCTTTGGTGGCCTCCGGAAAGTGTCTCCTCAGGTCACTCTGAACGCCCTGTTGCCATGCAACCCTTTACCACACCCAGGAGCGGCCTACTGAGCCCTCCCTCCCCACACACACCTGTCCCGTGAGGTGGGCTCCTGGGCCTGGCCCGCTCTCTCCCTCTCACCCCTGCTCGCTGACCCTCCCCTCTGCCCTCCTGGCTGCAGTGCCTGAAACTGGAGGAGAACATCAAGGAGGCGGAGGAGCAGGGGGAGCTGGCCTTCCAGGACGCCAAGGCCAAGCTGGCCCAGCTGGAGGAGGCCCTGCAGCAGGCCAAGAAGGACATGGCGCGGCAGCTGCGCGAGTACCAGGAGCTCATGAACACCAAGCTGGCCCTGGACATCGAGATCGCCACCTACCGCAAGCTGGTGGAGGGCGAGGAGAGCAGGTGAGGGGTGGGGCCGAGGGGGTGCGGTGGGGGGAGAGGGAGAACCAGAGAACCGGCGCCCCACAGAGCCAGCCTCACCCTCCAGCACCATACTGGGAGCCCGGCGGGCCTGGGTCCACATCCTGGCTCAGCCACGTACAAACTGAGACGTTGGCCCAGCTTCTTAAAGTCTCATTTTCCCATCTGGAACCTGGGCTGATCGTGAGCACGCTCCACCCTGTGGTGAAGAGGATTCGTGATTCTGCATGTAAGAGCCTGTCACCAATAAGCACTCGGTATATGTTAGCCATTTATACACGGGAGAGGGGACAGAGGCCCAGAGAGGGCACGCTGGCTAGCCAGGGCCTCGCCGCAGAGCAGCCCAGGGCTGGGCATGACAACCAAGAGTCGCCCTCCGTCTGCCAGTCCCCAGGCCCCAAGCCCAGAGGAGCATAAGCCGCAGGCTCCCTTCTCAGCCCACCCCTCCCTCCTTCCCCAGGATGGACCTGGCTCCGGCCGCTGTGGTCAGCACTGTGCAGTCCAGACCCAGGACGGGTGAGTCTGTTTGCCCCGCAGAGGGGCGGGGGACGGGGTGTGGGGGTCGTGGCCCTCCCGGCATCACTTTAAGGGGCTCCCACACCTCCAGCCCCTCCCCTCCCCCGCCCCTTGTGTTCCCTGTAGTGGCGGCCTGCAAGGCCCACCTGGCCAGAGCCCCCTTCCGGAGGAAGAAGAAAGGCAGCGGCCCCGTGATCAAAATCACCGAGATGTCCGAGAAGCGCCTCCTGCAGGAGTCCGAGGCCTCGGCGTGAGGCGGCCGGACCCGGGAGCCAGGCGCCCTGTGGCGGAGAGCCTGGAGCCAGGCTCACCAAGCTCTTCAGAGCCTCTGGGAGGCCAACCCGATTCTGCACTGAGAGGAGCTCAAACCACGAGTGTTTTCTCCCGGTTCCCCGGGCTGGGACAGGACCGCCACCCCTTCCCAAAGTCACTCCACTCCGCACCAGTGCTCCCACTCCCGCCTTCCACCCTTCCGGCCAGAGGTTTCCTGACGGGGCAAACTGGAATGGCGGTTTGTTTCACCGCCACCTCCTCGCTCCTCTGAGACTCCCCCGCAACAGAGGGCTCCGGGCGGGTCCCTTTGACCCTTCCACCCAACCCTCGCCCTACACTCACATCCCAAGCCTGGCCTCACCTCGCCTCAACCTCTGCGCGAGGCTGGTGCCCTCGTTCACCCAGTCCCAGCCATGGACCAGACCGTGAGGATCTAGAGTTTGGGGGAAGGGGCTGGGTGCCCTGGCTTTCCTGCACCCCCTAGGCTCCCCAGAGATCTGACAGTATTAGGGAGCGAGGGAAGGAGGCTCCCTGGGCGTTGAGATCTGAGCCTGGGCCTCTGGGATCAGCCCAGACCCCTGTGCCCTCCCTCCTCCTGTGGGATCCTCCCAGCAGGTCACACAGAAACGGGCAGGCTGCCCACGCAGCGCCCAGCACCTTCTCCAGAAGCTATTCTTGCCATGACAAACTCCCTGGGCGGGGGGAGGCTGGACGGCAGCCTGAGACCAGGCCGCAGAATCAGGTCCTCCCTTCCCCTCCCTGCATCCTGTGGTTCACCACCCTGCCTGCGATCTCAACTCTCTGCCCCTCCCTCAGCTCCCTGTCCCTCCCCAGGTGTTCCCCAGCCTGAAACCTGGCTTTGGTGTACCAGTGCCTGGCCCCACCCCTGTCCTGAAACCGTGGGCCCATTTCCCATGAGTCCCTCCTCAGCGTCTCTGTTCTCCCCATCAAGCCAAACAGCCTGGCCCTGCCCTCCTCTGCACTCACTGAGGAGCCCAGGAACACCCCAACCCTGTGGAGGTAGAGCTCCTGCTTTTCTCTCTCCCCCCTCCGCCCTCCGTCCTCCACCCTCCATGTCCATTCTCCTGACTCCGCCTGCGGGGCCATGATGAAGGCACAGTCCAGGACGGTCTGGGACCTTCTGAGCCCAGCAACAGCCAAAGAAATTCTGCATCCGACAAGATTTGGGGCGGGGAGGGGCGCTCCTCTTTCTTCCTCTTGGCTTTTATCTTTGTAGATGGCAGGGGATCTTGGCAGCGTCAGCCTCCCACTCCACAAGCCCCCTCCTCTCTTTCCCGCTCTCCTCCCCTCTTGGTCTAGCCCCAGTCTTAGATTCATTCATCTCCTTTCCCAGGAGGCGTGGCTCCTCCTAGGGCTCAGGTCTTCCAGGCCTGTGGGGGGCGCTGAAGGGCTACTGACTCAGGCTCAGACACCCTAATCCTGAGATCCCAAAGGGTGCTGATTGCTGCTTTTTCTCTGCCTATTTATTGGTTTCCGAGGGAGCAAATCTTCAGTGGGGATACAAGATACATATAAAATATATATATTATATATTATTTTTTCATAACTTATGTGGCTGTTAACTTATTGCTTCCCTTCCTTTTCTGCATAATCAGTGCTATGTATTACTTGAATAGATAACATATCCTAGCCACCCCACCCGACTGGCTGACCATCTTGGGGCAAAGCCCCCTTCTCCCTGCCAAGGGATGAATAAAGTACTGAGATCTGTTCGCGGCTAAAGCTATGTGTCTATTTGTACATCCCTCTTGGAGTTGGTCAGTCGCTGGTCAAACACGTTGACCCCAGGACTTTGGGAATTCCCCAGCTATGGGGAAAGGGAGTCAGGTACTCAGTTACTTCTTCAGGCCAATACAACTCGGGCACGGAAGGTCTCCTACCCCACCATCCTACAAGGAGCTGCACCAGGGTTGACCTACATTCCCCGTGCCTCCTGACAGGCCCAGGCACCCTGTGGCTGCCTTAGCAAGCATAGAAATGAGGTATTCCCCCAAGTAGTATCGGGTTCCCTCTCAAGCACGACATCAGGGGTTGGCCAGAATCTATTCCGATGGGTACAGGCCTAATCCTGCCAAGTCAAATTCTAGATCAACAGACAAGAATTGAGGACCTTCTCCAAGCCCAGCCCTGTGCTAAGATACCTACAATTAATCCCCACCCCTCCACCTGGGAAGCTCACAGTCAACCTGAGAGAGAACTTCTCTACTCACGATGGCCATTCTGGGCTTCCCGGCCAAGGGAAGAAGGCCAAAGAGAGGAGCTTGTGCAGGTAAACCAGGAATCAGATTGAAGGAAGAACCTGTGTCTCAAAGACAAGAATCTTAGGGGCAAAGTAGGAACTTGGAAGCACTGAGACCTCAGAAATATGAGTCTCAGTTTCCTCCTCCGTAAAATGGAGCATATACCTTCCCTACTTACCTAATAGGGCACTTGAGGATCTGACAATAGTTATGTTCACTCCTATCAGCAATAACACACCTCTGAACAGCTCTACAAATGTGAAGGATTATTAGTGATGTTATCATTGTTATTACAACAGATATTATGGATTAAAGACAACCCACTGGTTGGAAAACCAAATACAGGCAAGTAAGCCGAGAGCCGGGTGAATAAACCACCTTCCCATCCAGGAGGAGCCTAGAGCCAATTAGCTCTATACTTATTTTATCTTGGTTTTGTATTCTATTCTCTATTCTAATTTCTGAATTTTGAATTTATAAGTACTAATTTGAATTTCTGAATCTGAATTCCACAGTCAAAAATATATAGCACATTGCCCTGGCCGGGTGGCTCAGTTGGTTGGAGCAACGTCTAGCGCAACAAAAGGTTGCGGGTTCGATTCCTGGTCAGAGCACATACCTAGGTTTCAGGTTCGTCCCCAATAGGGGCATGTATGGGAGGCAACCAATTGATGTTTCTCTCTCTTTCCCTGCTTCTCTCTCTAAAATCAGTAACCATATCTTCAGATGGGAATTGTTATTTCCTTCCTTCTACTTTCTTTGAAATTATCCTTTTTAAACATATTTTTGTTGATTTCAGAGAGAAGGGAGAGGGAGAGGGAGATAGAAACATCAGTGATGAGAGAGAATCATTTCATTGATTGGCTGCCTCCTGCACTCCCCTCGCTGGGGATCGAGCCTGCTACCAGGGCGTGCGCCATGAGTAGAAATTGAACTGTGACCTCCTGGTTCATAGGTTGCCTCTCAATCACGGAGCTACGCCAGCCGGCTGAAATTATTATTTTTATCATTGTTCAACTCCTTGAGTTGAATGATTTAACTTTCCATCCTTCTTCTTTTTTAATATAAGATACTCTGAAGACCATAAATTTCCTTCTACGTACCCTTGTGACTGCTCCCTATCATTTTCAAATGTAGCATTTTTATTAGCATTTAGTTAAAATGATTTCATTCTTTGACTCATAAGTTATTTAGAAATTCCTCCAAACATGGGTCATTCGTGTCACAAGCATTACCTGAGCACACACTTAGTCTGCGCCTGGCTCTGCTCTAGATGCTTAGGGAAGACATTACATTTGTCCAACACTCATTTCTGTACTTGGATCCCCTCACCCTCGATGTTAGCCATGCTTCAGTTGTCTATTTTTGTGCCTTCTGACCCCTAAGTCTCTAAACTCCTTGGAGGCAACATTGGACCCCATTACGTCCCCAGGGCCTTGCACAGCGCCTGGCCCATAGTAGGTTTTCAGTAAATGTAAAATGAATAAATGAATAATGTGCCTCCCCAACTGAGGTCTCCTAGCCTAAATGTCTCATGAAAGTAGTTAATGCAATGCCTTATACACTGAAGGAACACAGAGAAGGAAGGAGGGAAGGAGGGAAAGAAGGAAGGAAGAAAGGGAAGGCGGGAAAGAAGGAAGGAAGAAAGTGAGGGAGGGAGGGAGGAAGGAAGGAAGGAAAGAAGGAAGGAAGGAAGGAAGGAAGGAAGGAAGGAAGGAAGGAAGGAAGGAAGGAAAGAAGGAAAGAAGGAAAGAAGGAAAGAAGGAAGGAAAGAAGGGAGGGAGGCAGGGAGGGAACGAGGAAGGGAGGGAAGAAGGGAGGAAGGAAGGGAGGGAGGAAGAAAGGAAGGAAGGAAGAAAGGACACCATAATGTTCCTACTAAACTAGGATGCTCTCCTGCCCCTCGCTGCTGGCAGATCTGAGTAGATCTCTAGGAGGCTGAGTCTGATTCCAGCTCCCTCCCTCCTCCTCCCACTCCTGCCCTCTGGAGCAATCCAGTGCTAGAGTGCCAGCCCTGCTCTGAGCACAAGAGTAAGGCCCTTCCTGGGCTTGGGTTGTTCTCCTCGATCTCTGGTCCTGCTCACCGCTGTGAGGCAGCAGAACAGGCATCATTAGCTGAGGCCCAGGGAGGCCAAGCGCTGTCACTCTGCTCACCCAGCAGTCAGAGGAAGCATGTTGATTCCACGGAACCATTTTTACCTGCAGATTGCCTGCCACAGGGGCTGTGAAAATGACCAAATCTGCCGAAACCGGTTTGGCTCAGTGGTAGAGTGTCAATCTGCAGACTGAAGGGTCCCAAGTTCGATTCCGGTCAAGGGCATGTACATTGGTTGCGGGCATGTCCCCAGTAGGGGGTGTGCAAGAGGCAGCTGACCGATGTTTCTCTCTCATCGACATTTCTAGCTCTCTATCTCTCTCCCTTCCTCTCTGTAAAATATCAATAAAATATATTTTTTTAAAAGAAGAAGAAAGATGGAATAATAAAAATATTTTTTTAAAAAAAAAAAAGAAAGAAAGAAAGAAAGAAAGAAAGAAAGAAAGAAAGAAAGAAAGAAAGAAAGAAAATGACCAAACCTGCTGTAGGTGAAGTGGAGACTAGAGGCCCTACCTGCAAACACAAAGGGTGATGGGGTTGAGACACCAACACTCAGCCCAGCCTATGCCCCCAGCTCAGCACGGAAGGTCAGGCCTCAGAGAGCTTGGGCAGGACTGTACAGTGA